TGCTAAGCTTCAAAAATTGCACATCCTATTATTGACCCTTTATTCCTATAATGGTTTCAACATTTAATGAACTCTAATCCATTAAAATAGTCAATCTGTTATGCCTTGATTGGCATGTTACCCTTGAACAGATGACTTCATCACTTGCAAGGGAATTCCCCCCTCTGATTTTTTTTTGGTGAATAAAGCTGGCCTGGAAACTGTGTGTGGTTTAATTAAAGATTTTTTAACTCTTGTGCATATTAATTGGATTCATTTTAATTTTGTTAGAAGCTCTTTTGCTAAGGCTTTGAGAGATGTCTTCCAGTTGAGTAATATTTTAATGTTTCAGAAGGATGTCTGATTTATTTTTTTTTAACTACTGACTCCATTTTTCCAAATTCATATATTGCAATTAAATGCAGCCTAAAAACTTTTCCCCTTCACTGGTTTTCATCTTGTGGCTTTCCAGCTCTTGTGGTATCTCTTTTGTATTAGTTTTCTGCCTGTTGAAGTCTGTCAGTTTTCCAGGGTTTTTTGGTTTGTATTTTTAAAAGCTGGTATATCTTATGTGGGAAGGGGGAGTGAGGTTGAGATCAGGGCAGCTCTTAAAACAAGCTGGAGTAACTACTTCAGTTTTTCTCCCTCTAGTAGATGATCTTAGTGGTTTTGGTTTTGAGAATTTAAAATAAAACTCTTCAGAACTCTAAAATAAATCCTTTATCTAAGACTTGCTCTTAGAATACTATACTTTTTCAGAAATCAATCTTTTTGGCTTTATTTTATTCTGGATGCTTGTAATTCTTTCCTGAATGTTGTCAATTATGTTGTGGAGTGGTTGTAGTGAAATGCTTATGAATGTGATTTTATTTTCTGATAATATTCAGGGTTTGAATATCGTTTGCGAGAATTATGCAAGGATTTACTGGGTCCAGTCCATTACTCAGCTGGAAGTCAGTGGGAATCAACAGTTATGGTAAGTCCTGATAATAGTTTAACAAAGCTTGAGGAAAAGTTTGCTGTGAAAATTACAGAACATGGGTAGACAATAGAACTTAAAATATGATTAAACTTAGTGGCAAAAAAGCCATCACAAATTGTTTTTGCTGACCCTGGAACCCTTTCCATACTCTGCTCAAATCTCGTAAGCAGGCTGCCTTAAGCAGGCACTTGTATTTATTTCATGTGAAACTGTAGACAAATGCGTAGCGCCACAGTCTCAGCTTGGATGCTGTCTTCAGTGTTACGCAGGTGGAGCAGAGCTGTATGTTCAGGTCTCCACGTTCTTCATACAGCAGCTTTGAAATAGTGACAAGCCACTGAAATGTCTTCCCTTCTCAGAGCATGTCTGGAATCTGTAACTGCAGAGGCTGCACCAGCTTCATGAGCGTATATAAATGTAAAGACACTCTTTATTCTGGGAGCCGTGTAAGCAGAGTAAGAACATAAAATACACAGCCCTCTCCAGGCAGGAAAAAAGGCATGGATCTTAAGCAGCTCTATCAAATATATTCATGATATCAAGTAATACATTCTGAGGATGCTTTTGTGTGTTTTTGTGCAGGGTTTACGAAAGAGAGAACTATTGAAAGAGCTTCTTCCTGTTATTGGACAGAACCTCCGCTTCCAGAGGCTTTTCACAGAATATCAAGAGCAGCTAGACATCTTGAGAGACAAGTAGCATTTCCCCAGATTTTCCCTGCGGGGCCTGGTCCGAGAGAAACTGCTGAACAGCATTAACCAGAGGCAGAAGAGGAGCGAGAGCCCGGTCAGTAGGGACACTCCTGAAGAGAGCAGTGCCGTAAGGATCCCAGATGCTTCAGGAGTTGACCTGCTTTAGTTTTTAAAGAAGCTCGCAAGTGGATTCGTGAAAATGATGAGTGGATGAGCTAGACCGTTTCCCAAGTGAAACTTAAACCATCGAAGCTGTGGCCTCTGTTTCTATGGAAAGTCGTGGATATGTACTTCAGGGGGGTCCTTTTGGATCTGGATCTCATTTGAATATCAAAACTAGCTGAGAACTGTTTGTGGGGTTTCTTGGATGTCCTGTGAAAAGCACAGTACTTCAGAGTACACTGAACAGCATATTTAACCCTGTTTAGGGTTTTTTGCCTGAGGATTTATTGAGGCTCAACACTATATTAAATTAGATGAATGAGCCACGTAAAAAGAAATTTCATAAATATTAAGGTATTATGCAGCCAATAGACTCTTTCCTGTGAATATTATAATAATAATAAGAGGCTGTTCTAACACATGGACTATTTTTGTACTAGAATTTGCTAACTTGTAATATGGAATTTTATTTGGCCGATAATCAGGCTATCTCTACAAAGTCATCTTGTAGGAGATTTAACTCTAATTACAAAAGCTATGTTTCAAAATAATTCTACCAAATTAACATGTCATCATCTGGTTTTTAATTTTTAAATGTTTGTAAAAGGCATTTTGGGGGGAGGGGGAGGGATGCAATGGGGTGGCTCTTTTTGTAAGTACAAAAATAAACGAACATTGCATTGGTTTAAAAAAAAAAAAGCAAAAACATGGTCTTGAATTATTACAAAGGGCACAGGCATCTCCAGAAATGTCAGCACAGGCTGAGTCATGTTAACATGTCTAGAAATAAATAATACCGTCTGAGTGATCTTTTCTCTGAAAGTGTGATCAGGCAAGTACTTGTGATGTCCCTAGAGCCGCCATGTTTTCTCTTGGAGCCACAGCTCGGCTGAGGGAGAAGGAGCTGTGTGGGAGTGCTCGTTATCTCAGGCAAAATGGGCTCCCTGACCACTGCCAAAAGTGGTCGGTGCTGCAACAAGAAATTAGCTTCATGCAGTTATGGCCGTGTTCCTTGCGTGGCATTTTGTAATAACAAAATAGGGCTGGTGGCCTGCCAACAGTTCACCTGTGTCTACCAAAACTGAAATCAATCAACTTGTTTTCTTCCCCAAAGTACGCTTGGCCATAGGAAAGGAACAAGTGTATGTGTTGGTTCTTTCTGGGACTGAACCATTCAAGTGTGCCTCAATTTATTGCCTTACTTTGAGATGTTTTTGAGTAAGAAAATTAGTATTGAAATGAGTAAGTGTATTTCAACCCTTGTAAAGGGGCAGTTTGTCCCCTAAATTTCTAGCGGAAGTAAACAATATCCTTTGCCCTCAGCCAGGGCAAGGACTAATGCTACTGTGGGCTTTGGCTGAAGGGGACTGACCCTCTTCAGGGAGGTGGCTCTGCAGTTAAATGGTTGGATCCTAGAGGGAGGGATGTGCTCTTTAAGGCAACAAAACCCCACATTTGGAGGGTTTTGTTGTCTCCTGTATTCAACTGCCAGACCTGATGGACACCGGATTGCTTCTCTGTACAGCAATCTCATGTGCATGCTGGCTGAAGTGTCTCAAAGAGCAATAAAAATAACTCACTTAGCAGCTATTCTTCAGTGTGGCACCAGCGGGTTTGCAACAAGCAGTGGGAAATGTAGTGACAGCACAGCTTGATCCTGTGTGTACCTGGTGGGGAAAATGAAGGTGATAAGGAGAGCCATCCAACTTCCCTGATCTCTAGTCCAAAAAGCTTAATAGTACCATACCAACCAGTCATGGCAGTGCTGTGAGTGATTCATACGCTATTGCCAGTCTACACTCATGGGAGCAGACATTCTATTCCTTATAGAGTAGAATTGTAGAGTTACAGAATCCTAGAATGTTTGGGTTGGAAGGGGCCTTTAAAGCTCATCTGTTCTGGGGAAGAGGTGGGTCTGGGTGCAGTCGGTGGGACCCCGGCTATCGGCTTCTGTGGATTTTGACTCTTGACCATTCTGTGTAGGTGGCTGCCAGGTTGATGGTTTAATGAGGAAAGAACAAATGAGTATGGATAGTTTGGAAGGTGTTTGGTAAGTGAAAGCTCTGAGGCAGGCAGCTGTTTCTTCCTGCTAAAGGCAGGATGTTTGCCTTCTGGCCATCCACCATTCAGCCTTGTGCTGTTCATACCAGTCTTGTCATAAATGCTGTTTAATAGGATTTAAAAGTAATTAGGTAAGGGAAAGTAAGTTGTTCTTTGCCATTAAGTCTTTGAAGAGACACTGAAATGCTTTTTATGAAGAGCTGTCTCTGTATCAGACACTGCAAGTTTTTTTTACCCATTTATCTTGGGAGGTTCTGTTACTGCCCAACAGATCAGGAGTGCAATGATTTTACATCCTATGCAACGAAATATATTTAAAATAAGATGAACATTTTTCTTAAGTTGGATATTTTAGCATTTTCAGCTTACATTCAGCACCTTTCAGACGAGGGCTATGAAAACTGTTTAAGGCTGCATTGCATGATCCAAGGAAGCCTGCAGCAAAATCAACAAGGAACGCTTCCAGTGTGGGTAGTGGGGGCTGGCCCTTTTGAACAACCAAGTTTTTATTAATTAACGGTTTGGACGGGGGAACGGGGATGGCCACAGGGGGGATTCGACATTTTCCCTAGGCGACCTGAGCAGAAAACGCCCGCCAAAACTCCCTCAGGGCTTCCCCGACGCTCCCGCCCTGGCGCCGGTGTGAGGACCCAACCGGAGCTACAGCAAAAACTGAAATAAAAGTGGATTTAGCCAGGCGCCAGGGACTGGGGCGCAGACTCGCCTCAGGCAGCCCAAGGGCCGCACAAACGCTGGATGTGTGTGCTTCAGCCTGCGGCGGGCCAGCGCGGAGCACCCTTCGCTGCGCTCCCCTCAGCGCGCCCCCCTCAGCGCTCCCGCGCTTCCCGCTCCCCTTCTCAGC